ATAATGACACTAGCAGTTACAGGAGGGCATTCAATTCTTGTAGGATCTCATTGGTGTTCTGTGCCTCCAACGTGGCAACATGCAGCTGGGGTGGAAGAGATGCTTCTTGGATGAGTGAAATGGACTACTGGATGAGCCAACAAATGAATGAATGAATGAATGAATGAATGAATCCCAGTGAGCTTCCCAGAGAGCCTGAAGCAGAAACGACTGCTGGTACTTCCCAGATCCGGGCCGCCTGAGACACGATCCCGTTGGAATTAGCGTCAGACCTGGATTTTCTGCCTCCTCCAGAGAAAAGCCCTGTTAAGGCTCGGGGTGTGTGACCAGTGTGGTCCCCGGGGGCTGAGTTCAGAGGGGTCCAATGCCTGTGGTCGTCGTCCTGAACTCCCTAACAGCTGTCTCTGATGTCGTGTTTGTTGAGCAAAGTCCACTGGAACCATGAGGCTCCGTGTGCGTGTGCACCACCTCCCCTGTCTCCCCAGGACGGGTTCCCCGCCGCCCACCCCCACCCCCCCACCCTCCATCCCAGGAGGGGCCCTGGGCACGGGCACAGGTGGGCGTCCTGCAGCACCTCAGGGCAGGGGGTGGAGGTCACCCCTGCCCTCAGCTGCGAATGGGCGACTCATCAGGGGCATGGCCGGCTGGCAGTCAGGTGCGGGGCGCACCAGGCGTTGAGGCCGCAGTCCCTCTGGGTCGGAGCAGGACGACCTCCCTAGCGGTGGGGCCCTGCGTGAGCGTTTTGTGCCAAGCCCACTAGTGCCGCAGCCGGCCCTGCCTCCAGCTCCCACCACCAGTCGGCCTCTGTCCCCAGCACAGTGTCGTGGGAGCCACTTTCTGAAGGCACTCTGGTGGCGCCGACATCACTGCTCCTGTTTTACAGAGACTGAGGCTCCAAGATGGCGGGAAAGCTGCCCAGCTGGTCAGTGGGGAGGCGGGTCGCTGCCCTCCTTCCTCCCGCGTGTCCTCTTTGAACCCAGCAAGAGGGCTCGAAGAATCGGACAGCCCTGTGGCAGGTGCGCAGGGGCCACCAGAGAGCAGTCCCACCCTGGAGGCCACTGGGGGCCCCATCACTGAGACCCAGGGGACCCCGGCTCAGGGCTGTCTCAGGCCTCTCGCCACCCTGGTCACTGTCCACTCCTGCTGGTCAGCTGCCCGGGGTCTGAGCCCCACTGACAGCCAGGCTGACTCCTCCCCAGGGTCAGGACCCCTGCTGGTCTCCCGGCAGGCCATTCCATGTGCTCCCTGGTGGCTTCATAAGGGACAGCCCCATGGGCTCCGTCCCCACTCCCCAGGCCAGTGCCGGTCACAGCATGGGCACAAATACAGATTTAAAGAAAGCAAGTGAGAAGAGAGGGGGGAAAGACATGTATGCAAATTTGGCTGACTTTCTGCTAGCCCCAAAAATGTCCTTGGCAGTTTGTCCTAACATCGAGGGTCAAAAGTTCAGGGAGGCACATTCCTCCGGGTAAGATGGAAGACTCCATTCAAAACATTGCACAAAAAATTCAAAGTCAGGGCAGTGCTTATAAGGACTGGATTGCCTCAGGGAAGTACTGAGCTCTCCATTCCCAGGGGTATGTAAGAGGGAGGGGGCGAGAAACCCCGGGGTCGGGAGGCTGTCCAGCGGCTGGGACACGGCACCTGTGGGTCTCTTCCAGCCTGAAGTCTGTGCTGCTCTCCTTGGAACAAACCTCTAGTCTTCCTGCGGTGGCCTCATGCCCCCAAACGCAGAGGGCACAGGGCAAGCTCAGGCAGGCTGCCCCCTCCCACTGTACTCCCCTTTGTAGCTTTTCTGATTATTTGGGGCGCCGGCACGGGGGCTGGAGGAGGACGACTCGTGAACTTGACTCTGCCCCTACGTGGATGAGTGGCTTTACACAAGTGTTTGGTCCTCCCTGAGCCTCAGTTTCCCCATCAGCAAAATGGGTCCAGGCTGCGGAAGCCCCTTGCCTCCCCTGATGGCCATTGCCCCAAAGCCCAGTGGCCATCCTCTTGGAGAGCCTGTGGGCCTGACGCGGGGCCAGGCCTGCCACGGCGAAAGGCCAGCCGAGCACAGGCTCTGCCTCCTGCCTTTCACAGCCACCACGAGGGTCCCCAGGTCCACACATTCTCCGCGGAAGCCGTCACGGGGGAGGGCACTGCTGCTCATGCCCGCTTTCCCGAGAAGGAAGCCGAGGCTCAGGGCATCACACGGCTCAGCCAGGTTCCAGGCCCAGTTGGGGCCTCGGGAACCGGACATCACACTGTGCGCCTAGCCTTAGCAACCAGGAGAAACCTACCCCACGCCGGGTGACAAACATCCTCCCATCGTCACAAGGGGTCCCCAGATGTCACAAGAGGCATTGTGTGACCAGACGCTGAAAAGACAGCCCTGAGCGGGCCTGGACTGTGTTGACCCCCGTCACCTCTTGCTCTCTCCAGGCATGTGTGAAAGTCAGTGCTCGCAAGTGACGCCCGGCGCTGGTGCGCGAATCCCACCCTTGGGGGCGAGGACCCTGGTGCAGCATGGGGCCGGCTGGGCCCGCTCGATTCCTGAGCGACGTGGGAAGCCAGAGAACCCCTCGACTGTTCTGCCTCCTTGAACCCTCAGAAGCAACAACAACGATCCGACTCTGAATAACAGCTTCGTTTGAACCAATTAAAAGAGGACTGATTTTGCTTTAAATTTGATTTGCGATGACAGCGCACTAGGAAATGGGTAACCAGGTTATTTTTCACCACAAGCATCCTGGCGTTTTATATCCTGGGTGGGGCGTCGTTATTGGGAGTCATTTCTGAGATGACGCCATAGCCACAGAGCCTGCCCCTTGCTCGCGTCGCAGGGTGACAGGGACGCGGTCATTTTTACGTAGCGGCTGAGGTTTCAGGGGGCGTTACATCACAAACCATGAAGTGACGTGAACGTCTGAGCCTGTTGGTTTAACGTTTAATGTCAGGAAAAGGAAGGGGACGGCTCGGGGCAAGGCTGCCGACTCTGTGCCCAGAGCACACAGACCCTGTTGTCTCCTCCATGAAACAGGGACCCCTGGAGCAGGGTGGGTAATGCGACCAGCCTGGCGTCCAGCTTTGAGGTGGCACCCTTCAGGTCGCTCCCTCCCTGGAGCTCCGTTTTCTCATCTGTCAAATGGGAGCATCCATCCGCCTGGCAGAGTGCTGAAAAGTGCACGCGCAGGTGCCAGGCCCACAGCCGGCAGGCTGGACCACGTGCACACACGCTGCCGGGCTCACCATCCCATCTGCTCTGGTTATTATTCCCCCTAAGGCCTCCCTCTCTGGGCCTCCGGGAACGCAGAAGGGGCTGCTGAGCCGGACAACCGCTCGGGAGTCCCCCACCGAGAGCTCCGTGGGGAGTTGACCCGCTTCTGGAGTTCCCATGGAGAGTCTTCCGTTTTCCTAGGTGCTGCCGTCACTTAAGAGCTAATTAAATGCCGGGGGAAACCTGCCCACCAATATCTGAACAGACGGCTTGGGCAGCCGGGCCTGCACGTGCCATGGAAAATCCCCCACAGTGCAGAGCCAGCCCAGGACCGTGGCCTCCCAGCGCCCCCGCCTCTGCTGCTCGAGGTTTCTCACCAACAGCCTGAGAGCCGGGTTGTGGGGCGTGCACTTCAGCTGCCCCTGCACAGCCCGGGGGATGGTGGCCTGGCGCGGTGGGCACGCCCTGACCGGCTCTGGGTTTGCAGTCCAGGGATGATCTTTCAGGACTTCTTCACGGAGAGGAGGGACAAGCCTGTGTCCCTGAGGGAGGCCTGCTCTGCTGGCCAGGATGGCGCAGTGTCCCCTGGTTCAATCTCCGCACTCCCGCCCCCAACGCTGGGCTCCCTACACAGGAGGAGGGGCAGCGCCTGGCCCAGCCCTGGGGACCGTGGTGGGGAGGCCGGGCCGGAGGGCCTTCTGGAGATGAGCCTGGGCTGAGCCTTGAGGGTCCAGGAGAGATGCTCAGGTGGAGAGGAGAAGGTGCTCTGGCCGGCCCAGGGCCAAGCGTGATTAACAAAGGCGTGGGGGGGGGGGGCGGTTGGGCAACAAAGGGGTCATGGGACAGGATGAGCCAACCGCAGTGCAGGCCTGTGGGGGGGCGTCTGCAGGGACTGCACCAGGTCGCCCTATCTGGCCCTGGGGTGTGGAGGCTGCGGGCAGCACAGCATGGCCATCTTGGACCCTGGGCCGGCCCTCCCCCTCGACTGTCACGCTCCACAGGTCTCCCAGCTCCGAGCCGGCCGGGCCCAGGGAGGGGCAGGCTCCGGCAGTCGGTGGAACGAATAAGGAGTGTCCAGGTCTGGCGCAGCTGGTTTGGAGGCTGGACCCGGGGCTGGGGTTTGGCTCTGCCCCCGTCCCAACAGGGACTGTGGCATGAAGCCGCTCCAGGGTTCGCTGCGGGCCCCAGAGCTCCCCTCTTGAGGCAGACTCCCCAGAGCCTCGGGGCCCATGGGAGGGCACCGGCATGGCACGGCTATCCTCCAGGTGGGTCAGGGGCTGACCGGCCTGTCTCCAGCTTTTCCTGTCACCTTGCAGCAGAGAGCGGGTACCCACCCTGTTTCCTTTTTCTCCATCGCTTCCATTCAGCTCGGGGCACGTCTGATACTTAAACTCGGCTTTCTCACCAGTGCTGCGCTCTGCCCTGAGTGGCCATCCCTTATCTCAACCAAGATGATCCCATCATACCCGAGGCTTTTACTGGGAGCAGCTGCAAATCCTTTTGGCAGGAAACAAACGTATTTTTGGCCCCCAGGGCTCGCCTTTGGCCCAGGGCTGGCAGCCGACTCTGCTTCCCAGGCTGATTTAGGGGCCCAGCACTGCACCCGCCCGGAGGTCACAGGCCCCTCCACAGCCCTGCCAGGCCCAGCCAGGAAATGGTATGCGGCCTGTTTACAGGGCAGGAGGCCAGCTTGGGGCAGCAGGGAGGGGCCCATGGTGCCTGCTGGGTCCTTCTCAGGCCAATCAGACGCATCTACCACCCAAACCCCTCACCCTCCATCTCCCCTAAGCCCCCAGCTGCATTTGGTTCTCTCAACAGCCCGGCTGGTCAACTGGGAGGCTGACCCTCAGGAATGGGTGAGTAGCAGAGGCGGGGGGTGGTGACCTGAGGTCCCCTGGCTGCTCATGACAGACTCAGAGCAGGAACACGGGGTCCTCAGGGCGGGAGACCCTCGCCTGGGTCCGCCCTTCTCCCCTAGCTCCTCGGCTCCAATGATCTGGGCTTCTGCTACTACAGAACCCCCACCCTCCCGTCGCTGTGCACCCCCACCCACATCCACGTAATGCCCCGTGGTGAGCAGGTGAGGCCACCCATCCCTGCCCAGGGAGATCCCGGGCTGACGTGCGGCCAGGTGCCCATGGTGCTCCACCTGGGGCCATGGAGCCGAGGGGGCTCTGCAGGGTGCAAGGCACCTCCAGCCTGGCTGCCTGCTGCCTCCCCCTTGCACGTGGAGTCTGCGGGGGGCTGACGGTGACCGGAGGCCGGGCTTCAGCTCCGCAAAGGGCCACAGTGGCTCCGCCAGACTCGAGACGGGTCCATGCGTCTTGATCCAAGGCTTCCTGGGAATATTCGAGCCCTGCCGACGGATGTGATACAGAAATACAGCCGGCTGCCAGCACGACCGGGGCGGGGGCGACTTCCTCGCCAGCAAGCGAGGAGGAACCCTGTTTTCTCCCCCGCTCAGCCCCACCCCCAGAACTGGGGGCAGCACGCGGAGACTGGAGCTGCCTCTCTCCAGAATTAGCGAGGCTGCTGCTCCAAGTAATTTTTTTTGATTCCACACTGAGCTGTAACAGAATATTTGGATTATTGTTTTTCCCCTTTTCTACAAACTCAGCAATTGAATTAAAATGCAGGAGTTAATTTAAACAAATGTCTGTCTGGTACATCTGGTAAGAGCGGCCTTGGCGGTGGGCTGGGCCATGTAGCATTCAAGCCAACCCCCACGCGGGACCAGCACCTTGATTTTGTCATGGATTTTTAAATTTTGCCTGAAATCTCCCCAGAGCCCAAGGGGAAGCCTCGGGCAGGAAGGCAGCGGTGCAGAATGCTGCTCCAGCGGCGAGGCCTGGAGAACGCCCATGTTCACAGGGCCAGAGCTGGGGTGCTGGGGACACACGCTTCCCAAAGCCGGGTGTTTCTGGGTTCACAGGCGGCTCTGCCTTCAATACTTGTGGATCCTGGATTGGACGGTCAACTCTGGGCCTCAGTTTCCTCAGCCACAGACTGGGCGTGGCAATGCGCCTGGCACTGACTGTGGAGTAGAGGTGAAATGCCCATAAGAGAGGAGAGCCACTGGGTGAATGAGCAGGCTGCGGAGGACGGACCTGCTGGACAAGCAGTGGACAGGTGGACAGAGGTCTGAGCCCCTCCTCTGTACACCAGAGAAATCCCCCCGAAGGACAGCTCCAGACCGCGCTGGGAGCAGTTGATGCTCATGGACACCTCAGGGGGTGTCAGCATCCCCACCTCACCCATGCAGGCAGTGAGATTGGGAGTAAGGCTCGGGCCAGCTCCCTGCACAGGGCTGGGTGAGAAGAGAGGGTCTGTCTCTGTTTATCCAGCTGAGAAGAATGGCTCTCCAGGCAGCAATTACGATCAAGCGGGGAACATCTGCCGGCTGAATGGGGTATTAGGCACCGGCGCCTGCAGCCCCGCTGACCACGCTGGAAGGTGCAGTTCTCGGGACTAGGGAGGGACGGAGGAGGGTGTGCGTGCTGACATTCTTCCCTGGGCCGTGGGCCAGGCTACGTGCTGCTGTGACACACTCAGAGCTCATCCCCCAGGAGCCCTGGCGGGGGGTGGGGGGACCCCACTGCACGAGGAGGCCCTGCAGCTCAGAGGCAGGACCAGTGTCGGCCATGCCACCTCCAAGAGAAGGTCACCCTCCTGGGCCCCAGACTTGGCTGGCAGATTGGAATACAGATTGTCAGGCCTGGCAGGGCCTGAGCGTCCAGCAATCCCCCCACTTCACAAGAGGAGTACTGAAGTCCAGAGAGGGCAGGCGTTTGTCTGAGCTGGCTCAGCAATCCTGCAACAGAGCAGGGCCTACAACACGGACACCCTGTCCTGGCCCCTGCCTGGTGGTGGGAGGTCAGAGATGTTCCAACCGGGCTTGGCCAGCCGTTTCCACCCCTCTCTCCCCACCATCCCTGGGTCTTGACTTCCCCACCGACCACTGAGCCTGAACACAGCAGCTGGGAGAGCCTACAGGTGACTCAGTGTGGACCCTCCAGGAGAGCTCTTCTGGGTTGGAGTGTCCTGAGGACCCATAACTCACGGTGATGAGGCTGGGCAGCTGCCGTGGGGGGGTTCTTTCCCAAGAGTCAGCCCTGGAAAGTCAGACCAGGGGAGGGGCCTGTCTGCCTCATGATTTGGAGGATAGGGACTTGGGGACGAAAGGCAGGACCAGGGCTGACCCCTCCCCGGAACAGACAAGGACAGATGGGCAGCGACCCAGGAGAGAGCCGGGCTGCCAGGCAGGGGCCAGGGTGGGGGACGTACATATGGAAAGGCCGAGGGGCCCCCGGAGGGAAGGACAGGAGGACTGGATGGTCACAGCAGGGACCCCCAGCACGAGCCCCTCCAGCCCGCCAAGCTCATGCACGTGCATGTCTGTGCGTGTGCCTGTGTGATTAGGGGGGGACCTCTGCCCTCCTTGCAGTACTTGGGTCCTGCTCCCACCCAGCCGCCCCAGCTCTGCAGAGCTCCTGGGCGCCATGGTGCGGGCTGGAAGCCTGAGTGTGGGGTGAGCATGGACACGGGAGAGAGCTGAGCTGGGGCAAGGCTGGGCCGCCCTGGGCAGGTGGGAGTTGGGGACCAGGGGGCAGGCTCCAGCCCCCTCCCCAGCCACTGCTTTTGAGCCTCATACTCAAAAACAGTAAGAAACTGGTAAAGGCCTCTGGTCTGGAATAAGGGTCTGGGGGCGTGCTTTTGACCTTGTCTCCACCCAACCTGTGGGTGGGGCGGGTCTCAGCTGCTCTATCTCCTCCACAGTGGCAAGCCCACCCCAGGCTGAGAGGCACCGGCTGGCCCAAAGGACTGGAGGACAGAACTGCCGCCTGGGCAGTGAGAGCCCCGCCTTCCCCAGCTGAGGAGGGGGCTTCCTGCCAGGCGGGTAAGGATGGGGAGGGGGCGGGATGGGGAAGAAGGGAGGACAGTTCTCCAGGATGTAAATTTGAGGGCTCTTGATTTCTTTTGCCTCCTAGCCGGTTACAGCACAAGAATTTTGAGTATATATTTTGTATTATGTAAAACATTTTGCTTTAAAAAAAGACCCCCTCCTTCTCATGCAAGGGGGGGAGGGGTTGGCTGGAGTCTGGTGCACTAGAGTGCCCTCCTTCCACCCCTGGCAGGAGGTCAGGCAGGGTGAGCGTCTGGAAGGCGCCCCCTGCCCAGCCGCTGAAGGACTGTCTGCTGCACCCAACACTTAGATTACAAAGGTTTATTTAGAAAATAGTTTGGTTGTTTGGCTGTCATTTTTGGCAAACATTTAATACTTGCAGTAACCAAAGATTGTCAGCGCTCTTTCCTTCCCCCCAGACAGCCACCCCCGCTGGTCCCGGGGAAGTCAGCCCTTGCTCAGATGCGGTCCGGGGCGGTGGTGCGTGTTTCGGGGGGGCTCCTTGCTCCCTCACTTGGGGGTTGCATACGCCACTGCTGTCTACGACCTCCACCTCACAGCCACACCCTGACAGGGCCCCCGGAGCTGGATGCAGGTCTGGAGCCCCAGAAGCAGGCCCTTGCTGAGATGGGAAGGCAGAGGGATCTCCCCTCTCTCCTGCCCCCTCCCCGGAGGCACTGCGGTCTCTAAGCCCACGCTCCTGGCCTGCTGTCCACCCTCCCCTGCGCCCTGGAGGCCAATCCATCCCTAGGTCCTTGCACCCCTAGCTGCCCTCTCACTTTCTCCTGGGGGGGCCACGCCAGCCCGCCCCTCCGCCCGGAGCTGTCCAGGTCTCCGCGCGAGGGGGGGCGCGCGGGTCACTGCCTGAAGCCCCTTCTCCTCCGTCGGAAGAGGATGTGCTTGAAGGAGCGCCGGAAGTCCTGGTTGAATACGGTGTAGATGACCGGGTTGAGCGAGCTGTTGCAGTAGCCGATCCAGAAAAAGAACTTGAAGAGCGGGCCGGGCACCTGGCAGGCCTCGCGGCAGATGCCGTACAGGCTGTAGGTGAAGAAGAAGGGGAACCAGCAGAGCACGAACACGCCCATGACCACCGCCAGCACGAAGGTGAAGCGCTTCTCGCGCGCCTGGGCCACCTTGCGGCGGCACACGCTGCTGCGCGCCCGGCGCCGGCGCGACAGGAAGAACTCGACGGAGCGCGAGCTAGCGCGCGACAGGCGCCCGCTGGGGCCCGGGGACCTGGCGGCGGTCAGCGCGCCGGGCTCAGCCGCTCCCGGCCCCAGCTCCTCGGCGCCGCCCGCGTCCCCCTCGCCGCCCGCGCGCCGCCGCCCGCCCCGCCGCAGTGCGCCCCTGCGCCGCCGCCTCTCGGCCGCCGCGCTGCTGTCCTCGGGCTCCACGTCGGCGCGCGGGGGGCGCGGGGGCGCGCAGTGCCCGTTCTCGCCCGCGCTCGCCGCCGCGCCCAGCCCGTTCTCCGTCGTCGGGGACGCGCCGTCGGGGCCCCCAGGCGTGCGCTTCTCGCTGAGTGTGCGCGTGCGCAGCTTGGCCACGCGGTAGATGCGCGCGTAGACCAGGCCCATGATGAGGCACGGCGCGAAGAAGGAGACCATGCAGGAGGACAGGATGTACCAGGTCTCGTCGTTGAGGCCGCACTGCGGGTAGGCGGCGCCATCGGGCTGGCGGTAGAGCGAGACGAGCGGCGGGAAGGAGATAACGGCTGAGATGAGCCACACGGCCACGATGGTGGCCTTGACGCGGCGCGGCGTGCGCTTCAGGTTGTACTCAACGGCCTGCGTCACGGACCAGTATCGGTCCAGGCTGATGGCGCACAGGTGCACGATGGACGAGGTGCAGAAGAGCACGTCTAGCGCAAGGTACACGCCGCACCACACCTGCCCAAAGTACCAGTAGGCCATGAGCTCATTGGCCAGCGAGAAGGGCATAACCAGCGTGGCCACCAGGATGTCAGCCGAGGCCAGTGACACCAAGAAGAGGTTCTGCGGCGCACGCAGCGCCCGGCTGGTCAGCACGGCGATCACCACTAGCACGTTGCCCACCACGGTGAAGACGATGAGGAAGCCCACCACGGCCGCCAGCCCTGCCACGGCACCCGCCGAGTACTGGCCGGGGGGCGGCCCCCAGGCAGCCCCCGAGGCGTTGGCCTCTCCGGCGCCGCTCGCGTTGGGGCCCGCCGCCGCCGCCGCCGCCGTCAGCGCCGCCGCCAGCGCCGGGGACGCCATGGTCCTCCCGCGAGCTACGCGGTCCTGCCTGGAGCCCGGGCGCAGCCGCGGCAGCTCGGGCGCCCCCCAGCCCGGGTCGGCGCCCGCATCGCCGCCTGCATCGCCGCCTGTTCCTTGGGCGCGCCCGCCAGGGACTGCGGCGCCTCGCAGCCGGCCCTCGGCCGTGGCTCGGCGGGCGAGCGGCGCACCGGGGAGCGTGGCTGCCGGGCTCCTCGCAGCTGCTGCGCGCGTAAGTGCAGAGCAGGAGGCGCCCGGAGCGAGCGGCGACGCGGCGGCGGGGGGGAGGGGGCAGGTCCCGGGGTCCTCGCGCGGCCCCGCCCTCGGCCCGGTTCACGGGGAGCGCCCCGGCCGCGAGCCCACGGCGACGCGGCACCCGAGCGGGCGTGACCGAGCGGCCCCGCGGCCCCGGCGCCCGGCCGGGGCGCAGGCTGCAGGCGGCGGCGGCGGCGGCGGCCCGGGCGCTCCGCCTCCCATCCGGCCGGCTAGGGCTCGGCGCGCTGGGGCGCGGGCCGCCGCTCCTTCGGGCCCCCGCGCCCGCGCGCAGCCTCCCGCTCCAACTTTACTTTCCCGGGCAGGGCGCCGGCGCCGCCGCGCGTCCTCCTCCTGCTGCTCCCCGCGCGGGCGCCCCCCGCGGTCCGCGCTCGGCCGTGCGGGCGCCGCCTCGCCTGCCCCGCCTGCTTCGCTCGCCCGAGCTGCGCCGCCGCCGCCGCCGCCGCTGCCACCGCCTCTTCCTCCTTCGCCGGCGCCGCCGCCGCCGCCGCCGTGCGCTCGGCGCGAGTGCAGCCGCTCGGGCTTGGCTTCCAACTTGGGTAGAGTTGCGCAGCGGGGCGGGCGCGCGGGGCGGGGCGGGGCGCGGGCGGGCGGGGGCGGCCTGGCGGGCAGGCCAGCGCCGCCGGCCCGGGGGGAGCCGGCCCGGGAGCCGGAGCCCGCGGCCGCCTCGGCGAACCTGCCGGCGCGGCGCTGGGGAGGAGTCCGGGGCGGTGGCGCAGGGCACGCGCGCTCGGCGAGGGCGCCCCCTCCAGGGCCGACTGCCGCCTGCGGGACGGGGCTGAGTGCCGGCTGGCCTGGGCGGTGAGTTCCAGAAGCCTGCTCTTTCTAATACGGGAGCCTCCTCGCCTCCCCCGGGCACACGCACACGCGGGCACGCACACTCGCGCGCAGCACCGGCCGGCTCGGGGTCCGCGGCCTGATTGGAGAGCCTGCCTCTCGCAGCCTGGCGGAGGATGCGACGCTGCCTGGGCGCGCAGCGGTCCTCTTGAGCGCGGGTCCGGCTCCGATGATCTCTGTTGGGTGCTCCAAGGCGGAGCGCCACTTCCCCACCCCCGTCCTCGGTCCCCTCCTCTGCCCGCTTCCAAGCGCTGCTGGAGCATGCATCATGACGGCCGTGCCAGTGGAAGCCTTGGGCAGGCTCCCAAGCTCTGCACCCTTGTTGGCAATTACTGAAGTTGAATTTTTATGCTCTGTGGCCCTGCTTTTAAAGGGTGGGGGGATGTTCGAAATCGTTGCCTCTGATAAACACCCAAAACTGAATTGCCCGGATGACGCGCGGCTTTGCGTGGGTGCCTCATTCCTGCCGGCTTAGGGGTGAGCTGTTGGGGTAACCCCCGCTTACCCCCGTCCCACGTTTCTGTGCATTCATTCCCCTGTCTGCGCTGGTCCCCGCCTCCAGGCACCCTGAGGACTGTGGCAGACAGGCCCTGGGGAGGAGGTTGGAGTTCCCAGGCCTGGCCTTTCTCGCTGGGATGAGGGAGAGGACCTTCCCTCCGAGCGGTTCAGAAACGCTCCCAGGCTGGCGGGCAGCTCTCCCTGCATCCTCAGGTGGGGGGGGGGGGGCAGTCCTGTGGCTGCAGGAAGGAGTGGGATGCCCCTGGTACTAGGAGGGTGTGCAGGGAGGGATAAGAGCCCCCCTCCCCCCCCGCCCAGTGATGCCTGAAATGTTCGCGGTGTGGGGGCTTCGTCTCTCTCCTCTGCTAGGGAAGGGCTCCGCGGGCCTCACGGGAGAGCACTGCTGTCTTAGCAGAGGCGCCTCTTGGAGCTCCAGCGTCCCTGTTAACCGGTTCCCACGAGGAGGAGGAGAGGGTCGGGCCAGGGCCAGGCCAGAACTCAAACATTCCGGATGGTGTTTGAGAGGGCCTGGACCTCCCATGCCGGTCCTGGGCATGTATGGACTTTTAGGGAGCAAAGCTGTGACTGCGTGTGGGAGGTGTGGGACCCAGGGAGGGGAGAGAACCACCATCCTTGTGCAAGAGCCGCCTGGTCCTGGAGGCCTGAAAGGTGTCACTGACCCAGGGGTGACAAAATGCTCTGAAGCACCCGCAGTGCATTTTGCGGGGAAGACCCCCACACCCCTGCACACTCCATCGTTGGCCCGCACGGCCCCCATCTGTATCAGGCTTCCTCCTCAAGGTGCTAGCTGTCTTGGGTGAACACTGCCACGCACTGAGATGGGTACAGTGAATGCCGTCAGTGCCCTTGGCTCCTCCCCCAGCCTGGGGGTTGTCAAGGAAGGCTTCCTGGAGGAGGTGACCTCTGAGATGTGTTTGGACCAGGCTGGGGGCATCTGGAGTGCCTGGCTGGCTGAGTGACCCAGGTCCCTGGGGATGTCTGGTGGCCTTTTGAGCTCAGGCTGCAGACATTGCAGGGCTGCAAACATCTCCTGGCATAACAGGAAGGAGGCAGGAAAAGGAGTCTCTGGGGTCCAGGGCCCGGAGCCAAGGGGCGGAGGGGAACTGGGTCCCTCCAGGAATCCTTGGGGTAGAGAAGCCCTTGGCTGGGCTGGGGCTGCAGTGAGTGTGGGCCAGCCTGTGCGGGAGGCCGGGGCTGCAGCTGTTTGAGAAGGAGGAGGAGAGCCCTCTTAGCCCGGACAGGGAGAGTGAGGTCTGACACTGCTCTCCATTGTCCTGTAACAAGCAAATCAGCGTGCGCCCTGAAAGACTGTCCGCCCCAACAGGTCGCTGATGGCCGGGCCCGGTCTCGGCAGGAGGGGTGAAGAGGGTGCCGTGTAGTCGGGCTGCCCTGGTCCGGGGTGGGGAGGTGGGGGCGTGGGGACAGGGTGTGGGACATCTGGGAAGGAAAACCATGTGCAAATGGAGCAGCCTGGGTCTGCCGAGGTGTCCTTGCCCTTCATGCCACCCGTGACGAGTGGGGCCCAGAAGGGAAGGGTTGGTCCAGCCAGGGCCACACGACCATGGGACACTGGGTCCTGGGTCTGGCTGCCGTGAGGAGGAATTGGGTGCCCGCCTGCTGGGTGCACGCCTCCTGGGGTGCTGCGCTCCCTGCTCCACGGGAGGCCTCACTCAGGTGGAGGGGATCTCGTCTCCTTGAACTGCCTCCTTGCACTTACAGGTATGCATGCACACACACACGTGCACACCTGCCCACGCATGCCCATGTGCACACATATCCATGCACACCCGTGCTTGTATACCCACATACACATGCCCACACATATGTACTGCGTGTGTGTGCGCCTGTGCATACACACACCCATGTACATGCTACAGTGCATTCACACAAGTATCTATGTGCCTACATAATGCACACTTATGTATGTACGTGCATCCACAAACAGGCATGCATGCCCACACCCCCGCATGTGCATGCACATGTATCCACACACTGTGCACCTGCATGTGCACATCAGTGTATTCATGCACACACATATACTGTGTGCACACGTATCCACACACATGCATCCAGTCGTGTACACATGCTGTGTGCACACGTGCATTAATCCATGCACACACACCTTTGCTTGTGTGTATACATGTATCATGCACACACGTGCATGTGCACACACGTTGCTGCACAGTGACTCATGCACCCACACCCATGCATTCATGTCACTGCACACATCCATGAGCATGTGCTCACCCCACGCATACGCATGCATCCACACAGCCACACTTGCACAGGTGCCTGGGGGCTCACCCGTGCCCCTAGGCTGTGGGGAGGATGTGTTTTTGGTGTTTTTGTTGCCTCGTTGCAGGCAGCTCTCCCCAGGCGTCAGGCTGGCTTCTGCCTTGCCGCCCTGCCTGCTCACCTCCCCCCGCATGCTCGGCCTGTCCTTCAGCGCTCCCTCCAGCCCTGCTGGGGACTCCGGGCCTGGACACCTGCTCTTCCCCAGGCTGGCAGCCCCCTGCCTCATCTGCCCCTGGGGCTCCCCTTTTCCTTCAGAACATGCTGTGTGAGACTCCTCCCCAGGAGACCTCTCTGACCTCCCAGGCTGTGTGCCCCTCCGGGGCGGGCTGTCGTCAGCAGCCGTGTCTTGCTGCTGTGGGCTCTTGAGAGCAGGCCGTGTCTGTCCCACTGCCAGGCACAGAGCCTGGCTCACAGCACACAGTAGGAGCTCAGTGAAGGCGCAGTGGGGCATGGGTGGTACAAAGAGCGGGGTGGGGGATGCTGCAAAGGGCCTGGTGTCCCCCATACCCCTCGGCCACGCCAGACGCATGCGGTGTGCTGGTGCAGGTGGGGTCCGCCAGAGCACATGGCAGCTGCCTGTGCCGGACCCCTGTGTCCCCGCCCAGCAGACCCTTTTTGCCTCCTTCTCTCATTCCCTCTCATTCCCTCGCTTGCTGACTGGCATCGTGGAGTCTCGTGCGTCCCTGGGCCTCAGTTTCCCCATCTGTAAGATGGGATATTGGACTGGGTGGTTCTAAGGGCCGTGCCAGCTCTGCCCCCGCGTGGCTCCGAGCTCCTGGAAGTGGGCACTGTGTCTGGTCTGCTGCCTTCGCCCTCGGTTGCTGCCTGCAGGGGAGGGGAGCTGCCAGCTGTGCGGGCACGGGGGCCGTGGCCTGGCTGTCCCATCTCCAGACCCAGAGGACTTGTTTTCTCCTTCCAGCTGAGCTGAGGATCTTTTCCCCATGTTTATTTGAAATTTCATTTTTAAGGATGAGGCAGGGAAAACACAGCTTGCTTCCCCCCACCCCCTTCGAATTCCAGATCCGCTTTGTCTTGTCAGAGCATGGCCGGGATCCGCTGGCCCGGGCGGCTCTCCGTGCGCTCACCCACAGACCGAGTCCGTTGCGATATTGATCGCATTGATGGATTTGGCTCCGCTGAGTTCTTACTGAGCTGGCGGAAGTCCCTCTGGAGCGAGAACTGCTTCGGGGGCCGTCTGT